GGAGAGCAGATATTTTTCATGTTAGTTTCTAGTCACGGTCAGGAGCCCCCGAGCCCCTGTAGAGGGCAGTGTTTGAGCACTTTGACGGTGACACAGAGCAGTGAGGTCAGTCTGGGTGGGAACTGACAGCATGACAGTGGGTGCACATGGCAGAAGTGCTTATGACTGCTCTTAAATTCCACAGACTGCTCAGGTATCATGGGCTGAAAGTCACATTCTAGTTTAATGACTCCGTCTATAAAGAGCAAAGTCGGTGTCAGGAATCACTGCAGGCTGAGCGTCCCCTGAGGACGGGGACGGAGGACGGAGGACGGATCCTGGGCTGGTGGTTACAGACGTGTAAACAACATTTAAATATTCACAAGGACACGTCCTCACACTGTTGTCTTCTCTAACGTCCCCCACCAAACTACTACTGCTGCACGCCTTCATTTCCAAAGGCTGTGATTGGCCGAGGGCGCACACACGCCCATGCAGTCGGTCTCTGACGTCAGTGTCAAACCTGACCTACATAAGAGGCCCAGGTTATCTCTGTTTTAGTTGCGGCTGTACCCGGTGTGGAAAAACCTGACATGGGAAAGTGGCACGCAGCGTCCGTGACCAGGAAAGTAAAAATGAGCGCAGCCCACATTTTAACAAACAACAACAACACATGTTGTTACAGACCAAAGGTCACTTTCTGATGCCTGGTCAGTCCACGTCAGTCCACATCAGCGACCAGTGGTCACTGCTGCAGACGTCCGTGTCTGTGTTTGTTCAGATTGAAACGTGGAAGTTTCAGCATCAGCGATCGATCGATTTTTGATTACGTCTGTGGTTTAACGCCGGGTGAACTGAGCAAACAAATCTTTGTCCGACAAAATAAAAAACTATCATGAGAAGATCGTTTTCTGAGCAGATAACACAGAGGACGAGGCGGGAAATAGTTTTTACAAAAATCAAGTTCACATGTCAAAGTTACAGCTTTCTTGCTAACAGCAAAATAACATAATGTCACTGGTGTGGACACAGGCTGCCACACCAGAGCTGCCGTCAGGGAATCAAACCCAAGACTCTCTGCGCTCTCCCTGAAAGACAGCTATGCTAAAAGGTACGCTATGAAAAAACACCGCTCTCCCTGAAAGACAGCTATGCTAAACGCTACGTTATGGAAAAACGCTATTGAACTGACTGCAGGTGTGAATGGGTTTTATTGGGTCTCTATTTGTTGTTCAGATGTAACTCTGCCCCCTGTCTGTGACCATGAAAAGCTCTAAATAAATATAAAATAGAAGATGAATGGATGAAACATAAATCTTTGATACTAAAAGTCAAAAGTAGTGTAAATATCCATGAAAATAAAAATAAACTTTATTTTTGCGATAAGCCGGGTCGCCCCCTGGTGGCTAGTCAGGTTGTTCTGTTGCCTTCTTTTTCATCATTACATTAATTCATGTCTGACCTTTAACCTAAGTGAGACTCAGACTCCTGGTGCGGCTCGTCTGATTAACGACCTTCAGCCCACGGCTGCGTTTTTTGTGCATATTTTAAAATAGAAACGTGTTTGTTTAGAAGACGTTAATCACATCAGAGCAGCGGTGGCGGTGACTCGCCCCGGGGTTTTACCTTAATTAGAGAACTGATGACGATCGCTCCTGCATTCACCATGGGGTTGTGAGGTTTATCTGCACGAGAAGCCACAGCATTAATTAACATTGTCTCGTGTTGCGTCACTCGTATTTATTTTGTTTTTTATTTAACGTTCGTCCTGAGGAAACGTCACGGCTTTTGTTTACCTTCTTCATCCAGCGACAGTTTGTTGAACCTGAATCCGCTCGGCTCTTTTCCCACAAACTGGTGAACGGCTTCGCTCCCGAGTTCGTGCAGGGCGACGGCGTACTCCAGGGGCTTCACGCACGACTGCAAACAGAAGGGAATCTTGGTGTCGCCGACCGAGTGTCTGCGTCACCAGGGAATATCAGGAATGTCAGGGAAAGTCATAAATATATGTACATATATACAGTGGGGCTTCAAGATACCATTAAAAATAACTAAAAGGGCTTCAAGATACCATTAAAAATAACTTAAAAAATCAATTAATTCGTTCCAGCCTCACCTCATCTAAACATCGAAAACATAGATATAAACAATAATATTTTGATCATATAATTAAGATAATAATTATTGTTATAAAAATTGCTAAAATAACCCAGCAAGGGACAGTAAGTGAGACAGCGCCACACAGTGCTGAGGGGGGGAAATGCAGCTAGGTTTCCAGATTCCTAACGTGGAAACCTGGTGTCTCGAAGCCCGACTGTATTTGTTCGTAAGACTCCGAACGTCAGCGGTGTTCGTGCTGCGTCTGTACCTTTGTCCGTCGATGGTGCACAGTGACACCCCCCAGAGGTCAGGGTTGAACTTGGCCAGCTGAGGAATGTAATCAGCGACCTGCAGAAAAGAAGGAGCCGCAAAGGTGAGAGAGATAAAATGAGGGCAAACGGCGGTTGTGTGTGTGTGTGTGTGTGGACTCACCTGTCCTCCGTCCTGCAGCTGAGCCCGGTCGTAGATCTGGTCGATCTGCTGAGTGAACTGCTCAAAGTCTGGGATGATGAACTTCTGTTTGAAGGCCTTGGTCAGCAGCATCATGTTGTTGGCCACAAACCTGGGACACAAGAAACAAAGTACGATTGTACTCCCGTCAGCCAGAGTACTACGTCAGCTAGTACAATGTATATTATATTACTATACTATATTATATTTTATGGAGGCTTTCATTTAATGAGTCATTCGAGACAAAATTATGCATTAAAAGTATGAATCATTTAATCACACATTTAGTTAAATATAAATTCTTAGACATTGCCCAATGTGTGTAGGTGGGACACCTAGTCCTGGACAACTAGTCCTGGTCAACTAGTCCTGGACAACTGGTCCTAAAAATCTAGTCCTAGGAACTTAGTCCTGGACACCTAGTCCCAGAGCTGGTGGGGAGGCAGTGAAATAATCAGTTCATGAAAACCACCATCATTATCATAAATACAGTATATAAATATATAAACATGAATATATGAGCAACTGAATAAATACATGTTAACACAGACAGATTTAAACCAAACAAAATATAATATAAAAACCAACACAAACGTCCAGATTACGGTCAAAGAAAACCTCTGTTGTTGTGACGTGAACTGCAGCTGATGGTGAGTTCTAGAGAGTTCTATTTTTTTTTATTATTGTTTTATTGTATTATTATTTATAGCTCGGTTGGTTGAATTTGACACTTTTAATCTGAGGGTTGTGGGTTCCAGCCCCATGTTGGCTGATGATATTTCAGACCCACGGTCCAGTGGTGAGAGGATTGAGCTTCTTATGGGAGGATCACAGTCCTGGATCCCACCCAGCAGACGCTCCTGAAAGACCGTGGACCGTGAGGACGGCTGTCCGTGTGGACCACGTGGCACCAACAGGAACCATGGTCAACAGTCAACAGTCAACAGTCAGTGTGGAGACGCTGATGCTCAGTGGAATGTTCAGCTGTGGAACCATTTGTTCTGCCATTCAGTCTGAGTCCAACCACTGACATCAGTGTCTGTTACGGGAATCAGTCAGGTTTTCCTAATCTTAGGTCTGATCCTGGTTCTGGTTCTGATCCCGGTTCTGATTCTGGTACTGGTTCTGGTTCTGATCCTGGTTCTGGTCCTGGTTCTGATCCCGGTTCTGATCCTGGTTCTGATCCCGGTTCTGGTCCCGGTTCTGGACCTGGTTCTGATCTTGGTTCTGATCCTGGTTCTGATCCTGGTTCTGAACCTGGTTCTGATCCTGGTTCTGATCCTCCTGGTTCTGGTCCTGGTTCTGATCCTGGTTCTGATCCTGGTTCAGCTGTTGTCCAACTTCTCCAGATCTTCTAACAGTCAGAGGCTCTTAACGTCCTGGTGTCAGATACCACAGCTGCCTCCAGGGGAGACCAGTCCTCCTCAGGTCAGGACGGTCCAGACATCAGTCAGCTGCTCACGGTCGACATATATATGTGTGTATGTATATTTATATATATATATATGTTTATATGAGGTGCGTGCCTGGTCCTCGGTGCCTCCATCAGCAGACTCTAACAGATTCCCAGATTCCCAGCAGTTGATTGTCATCCCTGGAGGGAAATGACTGACTGAATGTGCTGCTTCAGATGAAACTAAATATCTGGCCCGTGGTCCGGTCTCAGCCAGGACCGTTGAGAGCGGGAGAAGAAACGTCTCTGTGTATTTATGACGGTGTTTTTCTCTGTAGGTAGTGTCGTCTTTCTAAAACAGACTCCACTGCTTCACGTTCCATCTGTGCATGTGAACAGCTGTCAGTCATAAAGGTCCGTCAGTCTGTGATCAACACAAACACAGACGGCTCTTACAGTACAGACCCTTACAATACAGACGGTACTGTTCAACTGTATATGAAATCAAATATATAAAATATATTATACATACACTTTCTTCTTTTTTTATAGCTCTCTCTGTATGTTTATATTTGCGTGTATGTATAAAAAATAATTATAACAACTAGTAAAAATAAATATTGTATCACTATTATTATCATTGTTATAATTATTATTATTAGGATTTTATTATTATTAATATTATCATCATCATTATTAGAAATAAATAAAGCATGTGGTTTCTCTGGGAATTGAACCTAGGACTCTCTACTTCCAAGGCAGGCGTGCTAACCGCTACATTATGAAACTAACTATTATTATAACTTTATCATTGTTATTATTATTAATATTATTATTATTATTATCACTATTAACTAATTTTATTGTTGTTATTATTATTATTTATTTTATTTCAGTTTCATTTTGACTTCTTTCAGTTTGACGATCGTGCCGTTTGTTTATTTTCTTTCTTTTCATCGTCATCGTCTTCTCACCGTTGAAACAGCTTCTTGTCCATCATGTGAGGACCGGCAGTTTCCCGCGAGTACCGTCTCATCTGAAGGACGCAGTCCCGCAGCCGAGGGTCAGAGGTCAGCAGACCGGTTTTCCTCAGAGCCTGTGGAAGAAGGTAAAGGTAAAGATGGAGGTTTGATATGATTTATACACAAGATACACATGATGATACTTCATCAGTATGAACACGTCAGTATTTGCAGCGACTGGAACAGGAAGTACACTCATGGAACAGGACACACCAGTGAAGCTGCTGTCAATCGTCACATGGTCCGAGAGTGACTTGAAGAACCAAGTGCATCTATTTTGGGAAGACATGTGCACAGCCCACCTGACCACAGGCCCTCCACTCTTTATATTTATTTTAACTCAACCGTATTCTCTGAGAGTCAGAGTTTTCTTCCTGTTTGGAGACACTTTCCTGTTTCACTGGAGTTCATCACAGAGTTCCAGCTCCAGCTGTGATTTCATTCACTGCTTTTACTGGTGTTACTGGTTATTGTTGTGGTACGGAGGTGTTGGTGAGAGGATCAGGGTTTTTAACAAACAAACAATCACTGCTCTTCAGGAATAACAAAGGGTTAAAATTAGAGGAGAAGTTTTGTTTGGTCAATAAATGAACGATGTAAATAAAGGTAATTCTTCTTCAGGGTTTTTAACATGTTCAAAAACAGTGCTAACTCCTGAAGGAAAAAAAGAAGAAAAGCTCTTGTGTGTACCTTAGCTTTAATCATTTGTACTAAACCCAGCTGTAAACTCTAAAATCAATTCAAACATTTTGTAATATTACAGGATTAGTATTCTGTTAATAATGTTTGTACTGTAATATTAACACATATTTAAATGTAAAATTTTAAAAAATATATAAAAATATATATAAATATATATAAAACATATATAAATATAAAAATATATATAAAAATATATAAATATTTATTTAAATATATATAAAAAATATATAAATATATATATAAATATATATAAAAATATATATAAATATATATGCAAATATATGACATATATGTCGCCGAGAACCGCACGGTACCTCCGATTCTTGCGGGGGTCCCTTCGG